AATTGTGATTTGGGTGAAGGTTTACAGAGCAAACTGGTTTTTCACTCAACAATCCATACACATTCTGCTTTGTAGCATTTACTGGGATTCCCACACTGTAACAGCATTCTTTCCACTTCCTCCCTGCACCACCCCTTCCCTTCATTCTTCCTTTCCATCCCCTCCCACCTTCCCAACTCTATCCCTAGGCAAATACTATCCTCTTGATCCCATATACTTGATTGTTCTAATGAGAGCATACCCATCTGAATGAGTGAATATTTTTTGACTCCAATATTTCTTCTTCAAAAGAATTTGGGTTTTGATTTGTTCAAGTAAGATAATATTGATCAGTCATATAAACCTTTATAAATGCAACAGCAGGTCTATCTGACCACTTTTGATGCAACCCAAATACAAAATGTGTAGCATACTTCTAAGATGTTCACAGATTCCCGAACTACACTAATAGAAGTATTATAATCAAGGTAAGGTGATAATCAAATATATACTGAATATCCATTTATGCACCAGGCTCTGTGTGTGAACTATGAATAGGTGTGGGAGCAAGAATTTAAAGACATCTATAATGCTGTAGTTGCTCTAAGGAACTTATACCCTGATTTTGAGGGGGGAAAAAAAGGCAAATACATACAAAATTTAGGAATACTTTAGAAAATGTTTAAATGTATATATTCTCAATTTTAGAATAAGTGTTTTTAAATAAATGTATATCTTTCTCCACAAAGTACATAATTTTTTTTTCCAATTCAATGAGTTTTTATTTTATTTACTTTCAAAAATTTTGCAGTATTTCCTCCCCTCCTAGGAGGCGCCACTTTTCTGAGTCCTCCGAGAGCCCGGAAACCCCTTGAGGGTCTCGGGGTCAGCGCTCGTGGCTGGCCGGGGCCGGCGCCTGGGCCACGCTTCCCCAAGTCTCCGGAACCTCCTGGGGCTCCGCTAGATGCCCCGAAGTCTGCCTCTGCTGGGGAGGGAGGCCTGGAGCCCGCAGGGTTGAGGCGGGGGCCGAGGCTAGCAGGGGCTGAAAGTGCGTAATTTTTTGTTGTCATTCTATTTAAGCTTCAAGGGCAATGCTTGGTGCACAAATTGCTTAAGAAGACTGGAAAAGTCCCAGGAACTGGCCTGAAATGACAAATTCCATTATTTAAAGAATGCCGATGAAGTCCCTTTTTAGAAGGAAAATGTGTTTCTCTTAGCAAAACGATGATAAGACATTTTGAATAATTTAAATCTTTTTCTAGCTGACTGGGGAAGGATACGAAATGTAATGAATCAATTATGTTATCATTTTCCACTGCACTAAGCCATCATGTGTCATAATTCTGCTTGCACTTCTAAAGCACACACATACACACGTGCAAATGCACACTCATGCTTGTTGCTTTTAGTGAAAGACCATTCTCAATACCTCTCAAGTCAGCGAGAATCCTGGTAGATTCTTGTCTGCCCCAGAGTATGATTTGATGGGAGTTTATTCTTCATATTAAGTGCAAAAAGACTGTCCTAATTCCCTCCCCCCACACACTTATTTTCTTTTACTTTTCTTTTTTCTTTTTTTGGCTGGTGGAGCCTCTTCAGAAGTCTTAATGGGAACATGGACCTTTCTGACTTTATCTCAGGATACAGTCAAAATGAAAATAACATGGTTCTACATACCCAAAATCTTCATGTCACCACCAACTTCTCATTCAAGGGGTACTTTGGGTGGCAGGTGGAGTTATAATTATAGATTAGAAAAAAGCAGCATCAGCAGCTGTTGCTTCTGTTTGTTCCCAGCTATAACTGTCATCAGTGGGCAAATTGGCATAAACAGGCCTCCACAAGTGGAAAAAATATTTAACCCCCGTGCCTGCCACACTCTGGGTCCACTCAGGGGACAGAGGACAGAAAGAAAATCCGTGCATGAGTGAAGAGTGAAACCAAGAGGCAACACCAGCCCGAAGGCACCTCTTCAGAGCGAGCCTGAAAGTTGAAGATCTTCTTTCGGCCAAACCACATAAATAGGTTAGTGCACAAAGGTATACCTACGCATTTTAAGTCTGACTTCTATGTGATCTTTGTTTTTCTGACAGAGCTTAAGCTAGAAGGATGAACTATTGAATGACAGAAAGGGAATTTATTTGAGGACTATGTTTTTGTTTTAATTACGATGTCCACGAGAACAAATCATGAAATCAGTCTAATTTATTATGCTCTTTTTCCAATTTTGGCTGTTTTCACATTCAACAAATAGACAAAGTGAAGAAGGAAAAGTGAAACTGGTTTTGTGTCAGGAGTCCCATCCTTTCCTAATGCCCCTTACTTATGCCAAAAGGCCCTGGTTTCTTAATGAAAATTAGTAATGTTGAAGGCTAAGTTTGTGACTCCAGAAAAATACTGTAAATGTAGCTTCAGAGTTTTATTTAGAGGGAAATGGTGAGTTAGATTGTTTTCCCAGCTTTAACTAAGGACAGAATATTTTCTTGTTTATGACAAAATACGTTACATAGGCTATTTTATATAAGAAACCTGCTGTAGAATTTATTTCTGTGTCTGGTTGAATTCTAGATGAAAGATCCATGATTTCAGTCTTAGTAATTCTTATAGATCCTTTTGAGAAAACCCAAGATTTCAAAGAAATCTCATTTTATCTGAGTAGACTCCATGTAAGAGAATAGTTGAGGAGGATTTTCAAATAAATTAGCTCCAGGCCATTTATTTCAAAATCTAAATGGTTAATGTCTTGGTGAAAAGTGATGAAATTCTGGAGCACTCACTGGAAACTCATCTTTGGGACCCAGTTCTCATCAACAACATCCATGGATCTGAACCAAAACCAAACCCGTTACTGTCTAGTTGATTCAGACTCACATCGACCCCATGTGTTACAGAGTAGAACCACTCCATAGGGTTTTCTTGGGTGTAATTTTTCTTTCTTTTTTAAATATAGAAGCAGATTGCCAGACTTTTCTTCTGTAGCACCACTGGGTGGGTTTGAAACATCAACCTGTGGGTTGCTAGTTGAGCATAAACTATTTGCACCACCCAGGAACCTTAACTCAAGTAGAAAGGGCCCTTAAATAACGACCTTGTTTTGTTCAGTTCCAAACAGAAAGTGAACCATCCCTAAGTATTTTATGCAAGTCTTTTCATCAGGAAAGTACACCTTTCTTAACATCACTGTGACCCAACATTGTGTCTACATTTTGAAGGTCACCAAATGCTAACTAAATACTCCAGCTCCAATAGAGAGACACACACATCCTAGTAAAACCAGTCAAAGTACCTTGTCAATTTAATTTTCACAAGGGGCTTGCTATTTCCAACAATATATCCCGATTTCAAAGTAGAGACCCAGAACTTCGCGTAGGAAATTTAAGGGTGAAATACCCTTTTACAGCACTTTAGCAAATAAAGACTCAAACAATAATTTTGGTGACTGCTTTTGAAAATGTCAATTAATATAGTATAGCAAGTACTTTAAATCTTCTTGTAGATTAAGAAAATAAATGAGAGATGGCATTACACTGTGTCTCATATATCACATTCATTCACTCAAATGTTTTTTGAGCAAGGACTATATAATCTAAAAATAAGATTTAGCAATTAGGCAAGTTTAAGATTTCTAACATCATTCCTTCCAGAAACCCCTTTCCTCCCTTTTTCTACTAAAAGATTTATCACTGAGGTGGTAGCCATCTCCAGGTTCAAAATTGTACAAATTTTTCTCTTCCCTGAGAAAAGCAAAGGGGACATGGCTGGCTCATTGTTGGCTTGAGTTGCTTTTGGCATACAGATTTCTGCTCAATCTTAAACATTATTTTTACTTGTGTTTTGTCTTCTTGCTCTTCTAGAAAAAAAACTATCCGAGATGACTGTCACTTACTCCAGTAAAGTAGCAAATGCGACTTTTTTTGGATTTCATAGGTTACTCCTCAAGTGGAGAGGCAGCATCTACAAACTACTATACAGGGAATTTATTGCTTTTGCTATTCTTTACACAGCAATAAGTTTGGTGTACAGGTACTTTCCTTTGCATGTCTTCTTATATGGCCATCAAATATCATGTAAGAATACAGTCTCAAAAATTTGAATTCTCTGGTTGCCGCTGACCTTTGCATTACGTAACCTCTTCTTTTGCATGAACCTCTCTGATGTCATCTTCTCCTCAGACAGGATATTTAAATCCATACCTAACCATTTTTAGAATGTTAAGTCTACTCTGTCATATTCAGGTGGCTCTAATTCCAGCCCCATATTAATTATTAGGTATTATCATACTTCACCAATGTTGCTATAGGCATAAAATGGACTTAGATCTTGACTACGTGATGATTTTGAATGGCAAGGTATATAGGTGGTTAATTATTTGTGCCTCTGTCAATGTGTCATTCAGTTTCACTTTGTGATTTGACAGTTTGTAGCAATTGCATAAGTAATTCACATGTTCATGAACAGTGTACATTAGATAACATGCCTTTATTTTGCCTAAAATGATAAAAGCTTATCCGTAATAGTGCCCATAAACCTTGATAATACTTCAGCTGAAAAAAAAAAAGGCCTCAGGCTTAATTTGTTTTCTTTGTATCTTCCAAATTCCAGACATTTTATCATAAAAACAGATGCTTACTCTTTATAACATTACAGCCTATGCCTGCCAGATTGACAGAAAATTTCACCAATATCATGTCCCATAAATACTTCTAGGACTAAAAATTATAGTCTTGATAAATTATCAGTATCGTGAAAGGGAAGCTTTATGGGGTTTATTATTAAAATTGTTTGCGTACATTTCTTCTCTAAAAGAAGGTAAACTTAAAATAGAAAAACTAAAGGTTTTTGAGGTCATAGTGCCACCTTTTCTGTCTACGTCACTGTTGCTTTTATTCTGCACAAAGATGAAGAAATCTGTCTATCTTTGCTTTCACCTGCATTCTTCCTTACAGCAATAGGACCCCATTTGGAAAAGAAGAATATTCATTTAGCTAGCTGATAATTTTCAAGAGTAAAATAGGAAGAGCTATTTCACTACACATCCAAATTACTCTTCCAAACAAATGTACATATTGGTATACATTTTGGCAAAAACATCTTTGAGAGGAAAGTCTTATTAAAAACCATTAATAATTTTTCAGATACATTTTATATAATGTAATACTATTTTGACTTTAATGTGTTATCTAAGCCTTCGGAATATGAAGTAGTGGAAGACACAATGACGTTCCAGGATAACTGTCTCATTAGTTTATTTTTACTAATCTAAGTTTATTGCTGCTACTGCTGCTTAGAATAGCATAGTCCTAAAAACCATTACAACATAGCCAGAAATGTCCCATGGAGTCTCAACTTTTGCTGCAATGCCATGCCATACACCCCATAAAACTGTATGTACATATTTTCCTAAAGACAAAGAGTACTTACATCTATTACAATAATCATAAGGTCAAATTAGCCTTCATTTTTTTAAAGTTCAAGTGTAAAATTTGTTAAAATGTGTCCTTATATCCTGAACAATAGTGTAACAAAAAGTATAGACTGAAGTCGTGAAGAAAGTCAAATACTCATGTGGAAAATATATAGCTTTATTCTCGTGTCTACTAATGGCCCTAAGTGGTCTTGTTTTAAAATTAATTCTCTTGTAAGTAAATAATTTTACTCAGTGAAAAATCATGAGGCAAAACCAGAATTTATTAATTTGGTTATAGCTCTTCCTACTTGGGGATGAATTTGATGAAAGAAGCTCTGTAGTTGTTACAAAGTGCCGTTGAGTTGGTTCCTATTCGTAGAAACACTTTGAACAACAGAACGGAACACTGCTCCTGCACCATCCTCACCATCGTTGCTAAATTTGAGCCCATCTCATGGAGAACCTTTCTCTTTTTCACTGACCATCTACATTACCAAACATGATGCTCTTCTCCAGGAAGGGATCCCTCCTGATAATATGTCCAAACTACATGAGATGAAGTCAAAATGATGTTATTTAATTCTTATAATATCCCTGAGACATGGGTATTATTACAAATGAGAAAACTGAGGCTCAGTTAAATCCATGAAAGCCAGAACTCGACAGGACTGCTTTGTTTTGCAGGCTTTTGCAAGTTTTTCACATTGGACAGGGAAGTCTCACGACTTTCCTAGAGTTTGTTTGAGGGCAAAATATGAGTTTTCCTTCTCTGACAGGTTGCCTCCTTACAGAGGTCCCAGCTTTCCCAGGTTTTACTGTCATTTGAAAATAGGCTTAAGATACAAAGCTATAAGTGGCAAGTCTGGGATTCAAACCTGGGTTTGTGTGACCCTAAAGTCCATGTTTTCCACATTTAAATCATCTTTGATGATTTCATTTGTGCATCAGAAACCAGTCTGGCTGTAAGTTGTCATCAGCATGACCCTGCTAGATCCTGAGAAGCACCCCGTTGGTGCCTCTTGCAGTCTTTCGCAGTTCAGTAACACTGACACCTCCTCCGGTGCTGAGGCAGGAACTCCAAACCCACTCACAACTGTACGCCTTCTTTGTCAGCACTTTCAGCTCCCAATAGTTCATGCCATCAGATTGGCTGCTTACTCTTATCTCATTATCTCTCTACTTCCTTTATCAAAGTTCTACTGACCCAAATGGGCATCTGACGCTGGTTATAATGGATCTTCCTAGGATCCTCCCTCCCTTGGAACAGCTACAGTCATTACTTTATGCAAAGTCAGTTGTCCATATTTTGATCATTATTATTAACCTGACTTCTGACATTTCTTCTAACTCTGAACCTCCTGCCTACAATATAAATCTCAATAATAGTCCCATGAAATGCAGTTAGGTTTAACAATACCAGAAAATGGGTTTGGGCAGGTTGGGTCAGATCTAAAATATACATTTGGAGACAGCAACTACATTTAATCATAAAAGCTTCCATTTATAATTGTTCCATCTGTTTCATTTTTACATTTAAAATAACTGTGGACTTTAAAATAGATCATTATAATATCCCTTGAAGTACAACATGTGCAATCAAGAGTATGCTAAGTGTCATATTCAGGAGACAGTAAGATCAAGATGTCAAATTCAGGGTTATTATTTAACACTCAGTTAACAATAACTCTAATCCAGATTTTGCTCCAATGCCAATGCATTGACTATATAGAAGTTTTAAAATTTAAAATGAAATCCCACTATTTAATGACCAATAACATTAGTACATAAATTAAGCAATTAAAAAGCTTTCGAGCCACATCAACTCAGGTAAAAAGAAAGAAGTTATTGCTCATTCAAAAAAGCAAAATTAAGATTATTTGTGCTTAGTTGTTTGCACTTAATGTCACTTGCAAAGCAGGTGCAGAAGAATAATATCATAAAGGGCTGTGCATTTTATTTTTGCTCCAGATTCTTACTTACAGGAGCCCAAAAACGTTACTTTGAAAAATTATCAATTTACTGTGACAGATATGCTGAACAAATTCCAGTAACCTTTGTGCTTGGTAAGTATAGGTCACACACAGAATGCAGCCACACAGCTGTCTCCGTTAGGATGACACCGATGACTCTGCATGGGAGTGTTTCCAAGCTGAGAGGCATGCCCGAAAAGCCACTGCTTGCAATAGAACCACAGCCATCCATAAGGTTTGCCTTCAGGGCTGCTTTTGCTAAATTAACGCCAAGCAAGTCTGAGGTAATAATCTGCGCTTGGACAACTAAGCTTTCCCTCCACTAACTCCATTTTTGCAGTCAATATATGAGTTCTAATACTCACTTACTGGGTGCCATGGTGTTACCAGGCACGGATAATATTTCTCTCTGGAGGGCAAAAGCATAAGCTATGAATAACATCTTTTTATACTCCAGACCGCCCCCACCAAAAAAAGGCTAAAATTCTGCTAAAACCATCAACGTTGATGCATCTGCCGTGAGGTTTGTGATTTCCTCTTACTCTGCAGGGTTTTATGTTACTTTGGTTGTGAACCGATGGTGGAACCAGTTTGTGAATCTGCCCTGGCCAGACAGGCTGATGTTCCTCATCTCCAGCAGTGTCCACGGGAGTGACGAGTACGGGCGCATGCTCAGAAGGACACTGATGCGCTACGTAAATCTCACATCCCTGCTCATCTTCCGCTCAGTGAGCACAGCTGTATACAAAAGGTTCCCAACAATAGATCATGTGGTTGAAGCAGGTATTGTGCATGGACTTTTCCCAGTCTTTAAATGTCCTTTGAAAATTCCCTTTATTTATTCATTAATTCAAGAAACATGTCTTGATTACCTATTATGTACCAGAAGAAGCCGTGGTGGGGCAAGAGTTAAGCACTGGGGTGCTAACCAAATGGCCAGCATTTGAACCCACCAGCCACTCCATGAAAGACCTAGCAATGTGCTCCTGTAAAGATTACAGCTTAGGCAACCCTATGGGGCAGTTCTACTCTGTCACATAGAATCACTATGAGTCCAAAATTGATTCAAAGGCACCCAACAACAACATGTATGAACCAGAAAAAAAAAAAAAAAAAAAGTCTAAAGGGGCAAAGATAAATAAAACATAGTTCCTGCCCTTAAAAAGTTTAGTTGGTGAGCAGGGGAGGGGAGACAGCAGACAGTCACATTGCCTTTAGGTCAACATAATGATGATCATACTTATTAAAAACAACCTGTAATATTATCATGCATTTTTTTTCCTAGCACTTGGTAATTTATTCACTTTCATAGATGTGTTTTCATTTGAACCTCAAAAAACCTGAGGAAAATTAGGAAACAGATGCAGAGAGGTTATAAGCTGCCCTGGATCACACAGCTAATAAATGGGACAGTACAATTTAGGCTCGGAACTACCAAGTTAATGCTTGTCCTACTACACAAGCTGAATCTGATAAAGGCAGCCATGAGGGGTCTCATCTAGGCATACCTTGAGAGGTTTAAAAAAAAAAAAAGGCTGCTTCACTGTGGATCTATTGTCTCCCCTATTCTACAACATAGATATAGTCATTCTGTCTGGGCTCCTGGATACAGCACGCTGAGAACAAATCATGTTTGAAAGGTGGTTCTTTTTGGTGTGTTAATGTTTAGCAAAGAAGCTGTGAAATCAGCCTTCCATACTGTGAGAATTAAATGAGATAAAGCCTCGCAGGTGCTGAATAAATGTTGGTTGTTGTGTCTGGGTTGCTGTTAACAGGACTGATAGCTTGTTGGAATGTATTAATGACCACATAAATGATATAAGAACCATGAGATGCTTCTTTCTTTATATTGGGTACAGTCTCAAATTAGGGTGCTGTATCCAGTCTCCTTTACTTAAATGTCTTGAAAATAGAAAAAAAAAATAAGAATAATATTCTTGTGAAAATATTTTCTTGACTTCCATTTTTGCTTATTTTGATTTGCTTTCTTAGGTAAGCATTATAGCATAGTGGCTAAGAGTACAGAGTTAAGGCTTAGAATCCTTCCTCTACCGCTTACTAGCTACATGACCTTGTGTGAGTTACTTAACCTTCCTGTGCCTCAATTTCCTTACCCTCAAAGTGGACATAGAATAGTTTATAATAACACCTATCTCATATCCTTGTTAGGATTAAATAGGTTGATTTTTGCAAAGTGTTTAGAGCAATACCTGGAGCATGGTAAATGCCACATGAGTTCTTGCTATTATTAAGGAAATAGCTCGTACAATTGTATGACATAGCTCTTGAGTCATTTGAGAAGACCCATTGTTGACATTACATCCTGGGTCTTCTTGACCAATTAGACCAGGATGTTGTGGAAATCCAGGCAGAAATAGAGAAGGAGAGGTGTAGGTGATATTGTTAGGGGAATAAATGTAATGTGAAAGAGTAATGCGATGCATGGAATTGGTTAAGGATTCAGGTGGAGGATATGAAAGACCAGGCAGACTCAGGTGTTTTGTTTTAAATCGGGAGGAATTTTTAAAAATTAACTGCTACCTCTTCCTTCAAATTTCGAAGTTGAATACTGATCAGAATGACCGAGTTGAAAAAAAATGCTGTTTGCTAACTAAATGTCTTACCTTAATGTCTAAAGGATTAAATACAATAAGAATCACATCCTCTGTGGGCTATCATCATTTTAAGAAAGACAGAAACAAGAAAGATTTGACCCATTCCAAATTGATGAGCAAGAGGTGAAAATTTGCTTGGATGAATAAAGATGATATTTCTCTAGACCTGACGCATCCTTGGAATGAAGAGTGTACCTCCTGACAGGAATCAGATGCCAGGCTCAATTCTCAAAGCAGATCTCTTTCTCTGAGCGTCACCTTCGTATTAAAAGCACACCAAGAGGAAGCCAGGATAGCTGAAGATGGAAAGGCAAGAGCTCAGGGAGGGCTGAGTTGAGCTCAGGTGTCAGGGGCAAGTAGACATGATGAGGTATATGGGTTGGCTTCAAGACTTTTCTTAAACTAAACAAGAACAGCAACAACAACAACAAAAAAAAACTGTGTCATCAATTTGATTCTGACTCACAGTGACTCTATAGGACAGAGTTGAACTACTCCACAGGGTTTCCAATGCTCTAAATCTTTATGGAAGCGGACTGCCTCACCTTTCTCCAGCGGAGCTGCTGGTGGGTTCAAACTGCAGACCCACGGTATGCTTTAACTACTGTGCCACCAGAGCTCCTTTTAGTGATGTGAAACAGCAACAATTAAGGAGAGTAGATTCAAGGTTATAGTCATGCTGGAGGCTCCAGAATTATAAAGAGGGACTTCAGGGCTGCAGTGTGGTCGGAGACACTGTCTGCGGAATTTGGATTTGAGCTGTTTGAGCATAGCAAGTATTGTTTTGACTTAGACTTATTTGTTCATTTGGAGTTGCTGAGAAAGAGAGGGAAGAGAACCGATGAGGTAATCACTGATTATTTCACTGAAAAGGTCACTCTTGCCCTCTGACCTTTTGGAAAGTCAGGAAGAGGGTTTAGTGGAACAGTTTGTGCCCTCAGGAATATAAGTTTTGTGTGTCTGGCATCAAGGCAAAAGTTTCAAGCCACTACCTTCTGAGTCGGGAGGGACATTTCAGAAGCCAAGTCCCCTAGGTGGGCACTCTCTCTGTGGATGGGCAGCACTGACTCCCTGAGCTTCCTGCTCCTTTTTCCAGCAGATGACTGACTCAGAGTGTGCATGGGGTCGGTTTCCAAGTTCTCCCAAGTGGGCACAGGCCTCTACCCCTTCCTCACTGTCCCATGCTTATGCCAAGGTTTCTGGGAAGAGCAGGAAGTTCAGGGATGCCGGAAAATGTTTGGCAGATCCCCTGAGCCCAGAGCCAGGCACCTGCTCTGCCTGAGGACAGAGAGGGCTGTAAGTAAAATGCTGGGGGGGGGGGGGTGCGGAGTGGCCAATGGGGTAGGGGCAGATAAAAGGAGAATGCAGAGGGCACAAAAAAACTTCTCATCAGTTGACTCCCGACATAAAATCACCTGGAAGGAAAAGTACAAGTTCTCAAACTTTAGAGCCCACTGCCCTAGAGTCCATCCCGACTGCTGCTAACCCTGTGTGTTATACAACTGCTCCATAGGGTTTTCTTATAACCTTTATGGAAACAGATCTCCAGGGCTTTCTTCCACAGAGCTACTGGGTGAACTGCCAACTTTTAGGTTAGTAGTCGAGCATTCATTAAATATTGCTAAAAATCAATATTGCTAAAAATGCAGATTCTGGGTTCCTAACCACAGAGATAAGGAACTCTGGTGGCGTAGTGGATAACGAATTTGGGTCCTAACCAGAAGGTCAGCAGTTCAAACCTACAAGCCGCTCCGGGGAAGGAAGATAAGGCAATACTTCTGTAAAGATTTATAGCCTCGGAAACCCAGTGGGGGTTGCTGTGAGTCAGAATCCACTCGATGGCAATGAGTTTGGTTTCGTTTACCCACAGAGGCTCAGATTCAGTAGGTCGGGGGTGGAGTGAATGAATATATACATTTAATAAGCTTGTAAAGACTCCAGACACACTCTGAGGAATAATCGGCTTTAAGGCAATGGAGTTTCCCTCCAACCTTTTCTCCCTTTTGTTCAGGAAGGCCCTTGCCTACATAGATTCAGTGTTGGCCAGGAGTAAATGAATAGAGGGCATTGACTAAATCTGGATGTACCAGGTCCTGCTAATCCCTACAGCTTCCTTGCTTTGATGTACATACTTTAAGGATGTATATATCTTTCTGAATTATCTTTCACAGAACTTAGCAACCAAAAACCAAACCTACTGCCATCAAGTCAATTCCGACTCATAGCGACCCCCTTTGGTTTTCCAAGGTAGTAAATCTTCACGAGAGTAGATTGCCCAGTCTTCCTTCAATGGAGTGGCTTGTGGGTTTGAACTGCCAACCTTCTGGTTAACAGTCAAATGCTTTAGGCACTGTGTCACCAGAGCTCCTTACCAAATCAAACCAAACGCACTGCCAGGAAGTCAAATCCGACCCATAGCAAGCCCTCCTTGGGTTTCCGAGGCTGGTATCACTACAGAAGTAGATTGCCCAACCAACCTTCCTTCTGAGGAGTGGCCAGTGGGTTTGAACTGCCAGCCTTCTGATTAGCAGTCAAATGCCTTAGGCACTACACCACCAGAGCTCCTTAGAACCACAGTATTCAATAAATTTGGGGTGAAAAGTTAAAGTCACCAGCTTTCCTCACTCTTCATATTACCTTTCAATCAACAGACATGCTACATGGAGGGGAGGGCATTCGTGTTGCCCAAAATAAACAATAACTATGCTTGTTTGTTTTCTGTCTTGAAGCCAAGAAAGGACTCACTAGCAAAATTTAATTCATACTCCTGAGTAAAATATAACCAGAGATAAAGTTACTCTTTGGTCAAATGACAGAGATTGCAGCCAATATACAAATGCTGTTGTTGTTGTTATGTGCCGTTGAGTCGGCCCCGACTCATAGCGACCCCTCCTTGGGTTTCCGAGGCAGTATCACTGCTCATTTTTTTAAAATTCTGCTATAAATCACAAGAATATAACTGATAGACAATCAATATGAAGTGTTAGAAAAGTTCCATTTAAAGGAAAGATAGCTATGGCATGTCTTTAAACATAAAGCCAAGGCAGGTTAAGTTTATCTACTAACTTCTTATATAAAATTTAATCATGATCTACAAGTCTTTAAAAATAATAATGATAAGCAGATTATCTGGATCATGAAACAATTCTGAGATTGCATTGAGAAACA